CCCCCCCCCCCCGGTCCCCGGCCCTCCTTTGTTGCTGCTTTCGCGCCACCTCGCCGGCCTCTGACCCCCGCCCTCCCGCGCCTCGCCAGTCCTCCATCCCCTGGACACGGTGAAGATCCGCCTGCAGGCGGTCCAGCCCTCGCCCCCGCTCTACACCTCGCTCGGCCAGACGTGGGCCCGCATCGCCGCCGAGGAGGGCTTCTGGCCGGGGCTCTTGCGGCCGGGGCTCGTGGCCAACCTCTATCGCGAGGCCATCTACTCGTCATTGCGCATGGGGCTGTACCCGTATGTCCGCGGGGCCCTATGCGGCGAGGATGCCGGTGCGTCGTGATACCACCACCATTGTGGTCATGGGCAGGGGAGGATGAGGGCCGGGCCGGGTGGGGAGCCTCTGCCCTGTGGCCCGGCCTTGCTGCCACCCCTCAGCCAGCGGCCCCGGCGATGCTCACACTAACATGGCCGTGCCCCTCCTCGCCGCGGTGACCGCCAACACCCGGGCCTAGACCCTGGCCTGGCCAAGCGCCTGCTGGCCGGGCTGCTGACCGGGGCCATCGGCTCGGCCCTGGCCAATCCCCTGGATCTGGTGAAGATCCGCATGCAAGCCGAGGCTGGTGTCATTCGCGACGGGCGCTATGTGGTACGCGCGTGCAAGGGCACATTCGCACAGGCGCCGAAAATGGGGAAGGCCGCCTCCGGCCATGGAGATCTGACCACCTATATCCCCGGCCTCCCGGCAGACCGGCCTCCGTACCGGCAGCGCCCCGACTGCCACCTCGACAATGGGGTTCCTCCGGCATGCCATGTATGCCCCCCAGCCGGCGGCGCCGGCCCTCGCCCCGCCGACCGTCAGCGTCGACGCCCTGCGGCGTGTCAATGCGGCGGTCTCGCCGCCGGGGGGGCTGATCAGCGCCTCGGCCGAGGCTGCTGCTGGCGCCACCACCGGGCCGCTGGTCTTTCGTCCGTCCGGGCTCTTCCGGGGCGTCGGCCCGACGGCCGCCCGTGCGGCCCTCCTCACTGCCGGCCAGATGGGCACCTACGACCACTCGAAGACCGTGCTCAAGCGCAATGGCCTCATGAATGAGGGTCTGGCTCTGCACTCGGTGTGCGTGACCGCCTCGGCCCCTGGCCCTTTGGCTGTCTCTTGCTCTGCCCGCCTGCCTGCCCAGCTGCCTGCGCTCCCCTCTGATGTGCCTGCCTCCTTACGCCCGACCTGCTCGCCCCCCGCCCCCTCTGATGTGCCCCTCTCTGTCGCGCTCTCTCCCTCTCCCTTGCTCCCTCTCCGCCGTGCGTGCCGCCCTCCAGTGCAAGTCTCATTGCTGGCCTCACAGCCACCACCATCAGCATGCCGGCCGATGTGATCAAGACGCGGCTGATGGCCGCCCGTCGATCGGCCGATGCCGCCGCCGCCCCTGGTCCCCCTGGCGGGGCTCCGCTGTCCACGGCCGGTGTGCCCGCCGTTCGGTCGCTGCTGTCTCCGACCACCACGCTCGGATGCGTGGTCGATGTACGTTCCACTCTGGGAGTGTGCATGCCCCTTTTCCTTCCTCCTCCCCCCCCACACACACATGCACATGCACATGCACATGCGCATGGACGCTCGCGCGCACACACTGAGCCAGGCACAGCCAGAGAGGTGGGCCACGAGAAACACCCCCAGACACATGAATCTAACTCCGGCCGACATCCAGATCATCAAGCGGGAGGGCATGCTTGCCCTGTGGCGCGGCTGGTGGCCGGCATATCTGCGCATCGGCGCCCACTTTATCATTGTACGTGTCGCGCCCACGGGAGCGGGTTTCGCCACCCAAGAGGGCCCCACACGGCGAAACCGTCGCCCTGCCTCTCCCTCTCTGTCCCCTCGGCGGGACGATCCCGTCCCCCAGTACTGACGCTCGTTGGCCCCTCCGCCCCCCCCGGCCACCACCGGACACACAGTGCCTGCCACTGAACGAGCAGATCCGCAGTGCGATGGGACTCAGTGCTATCTGATGCGGTGCGATGCACGTGATATCAGACTGTGGGCTACGGCCACATTCCTTGTCGCCCACAATACACGCTCCCTTCTGCCCCCTTGCCTGTGTCCCCCCCCCCCCTGACTTATGCCAAGGGGCGAGGGAAAAGATGTAATGTGCCAACCTTCGCGGCCTTGGTGCTGAGCCCGGTGTCAACCGTCACCGGGGGTGCTGTTGCTGTTGATGCCGCCAAGGCCGCCGGGCTCAGCCGCGCCCCCCCTCCCCCCGCCTCGGTTCCTCTTTTTGCCTGGACCAAGCCCTGCCCCCCGCCCTCCCACCTCCCGATCTGGCCGACCACGGCCCCCCCCCCCCCCCCCTGACCCCCCCCCCCCCCCCCCCCCCCACTTACCCCCCCGATACCGTCCGCCTCCCCTGTGGCTGCAAGCGTAAGCGTACGTCGTTCCGTGCTCGGCCACCCACTCGCGCTCGCCCCTGATCGCATGGCCTCCGCTCCCCGCTGGGGACCTTAATTGCGTCTTGCAGTTACTCTCGGAGACCTTTGAGAGGCGTGGTGCATGGGGGCCGGGGTGGCGAGGTGGACGCACCAAACAGCGGCTGGCCCCGGCTTAGGTGGAGTCAAGGATGTGGCCAGGGGACGGGAGCCCGAGGGCCAGTGCTGCCTGGCCCTCGGCGGTGCAGGGGATCCGGCGCCATTCGAGTCTGGCGCGGGGGGACTCGCGCGAGAGGGGGCGAGGCCTTTTTCGGCCACATGCCCTGACCAGGTGGAGGAGGGCCACTCCTCTTGGCTGCCACACGCAATGCCTCGGCAACACTGCCCCCACCATCTCTGCTCCCCATCCGCCTCCCATCCGCCCTCCAAGACACTCGCACACAGGCACACAAGCACACACGCACACGCACACCCATCGACCCTCGCTCTAGCGCACTCGCGCCTGCGATGACCGAATCGCCGACCACTGAGCAGCAGGCACCGCCGGTCCCTTCGGTCACGGTCCTGCCGGGAAAGGTCTCTCATTTGGGGGTCGACCAAGAGGATGCTGCCTCGATCGTCTCAGACGAGCAGCTCGTCGCCGAGAACGCCCCGAGCGCCCAGGCAACACCGCCGCTCGGGTCGGACCAGCTGTCCTCTCGGCCTGACGACCGATCTTCAGATGCCCAGGCCACGGCCGACCAGCCTCCAAGCACCGAAGCCGCGGACGCGCCGCCGGCCCTGCCACACGCCCCGGCCATGATCACCATCACGCCGGACGCTCGCACGGACCAGGTGCTGGAGTCCACCGATTCCGGCACCCTAACGACCGAGCTGGAGGAGGAACCTCCGCTTGGCACCGACACCTCACGGGAGGCCGATGCGCCTGGGGCTGACGGACCGGAGGGCCTGGCCCAGGCCACCGGGGGCCTGGCTGAGGGCCGCGCCACCTCCGAGGCTTCCGCCAGCGAGGGCTGCAGCACCGCCCCCTCGCCCAGCACCGAACCCCATGCTCCGGCCCCCGAAGCCGGAATGCCGGGCGCTGACCCGGTCGACCCCGGCGAGACGTCCATCCTGCGCATCCCCTTTCAGGCGACGCTGCGCCGGCTGCTGCGCACCTGGGCCGAGCAGGGCGGCTCCGGCCGCGGGGAGTGCGCCGCATGTCAGCCGAGCCGCACATCGAGCCGGGATTCCCTCTCGGAGGTGGTGTTGGATTTCGACACGAGCCCCGGGGGCGACGACGCCCCGGCCACCGACGCGCCAGCCGGGGCCCGGGGCACCGCCTCCCCGCGCGTCAGCAACGCCTCGCTGCCGGTGGTGGAGATGGACCAGGATGGCGACGTGGTCCGGAGCCACGCGCTCCAGTGCCCGCAAGGGTGGCTGCTCCTGCTGCCGGAGGCTCCCTCCAATGGCCCGGGATCCGAGGCTGACGATGAGCCCCTCTCCCCGGCGCCGACCGCGGAGGAGCTGGCCCAATCGCAGCTGCTCGGCTTCCTGTCCGAAGCTGTCAGCCTGGACCCGGACCTGGAGGAGAACCAGCACGCGGCCGGTACGTGCTCGCCCGCACATGCGCCCCCGGTCAGCCGGTCCTCCGGGCTTGAGCTCTCCCAGGACTGCCCCGCCCCCGCCCCCCCCGGGGGCGTGTGTGGGCACCGGGCCGGGGCCAAGAAAATTGACCATGGTGCCGGCTCATGTGTCCCTGCGCGCCCGGTCCCCGACCCTGGGCCTGCTGCCCTGCTAACCGCTTTGACTGCCTGCCTCGCCGCCTACACACCCTACCTTCCGCCGCCGACCCCCTCGTTCGCCCTCCCCTCTCCCCCCCGATCTACACCCCCCCCCCCCCCCCCCCCTCCTTCGCACCTGCTGACCATGTCACCCGCCCACCTGCTGGCCCTGCTGCCCGCGCCTGACAGAGCTTTGCGGGCTGACCGTGCGCGCGGCCACCGAGGTCGCCGCGGCCGGGGCCCCGGTGTCCTCCAAGCGTGATGTCCTCCTCCTGACCTATCTGCTGCTTCGAGTGCGCTTTCGATTTGATACCGTGCGGACGACAGCCACCCGCCGCTCTTTCACCGCTTGGCTGACCTCGCTCGCCTGTTGCTGCTGCTGCTGCTGCTGCTGCTGCTGCTGCTGCTGCTGCTGCTGCTGCTGCTGCTGCTGCTGCTGCTGCTGCTGCTGCTGCTGCTGCTGCTG